AGAGTTTTTGGCCGCCAAACGGATCACTGAAATGGATCACCCGCCGTATTCGCCCGATTTAGCCCCCAGTGACTTTTGGCTATTTCCCAAACTCAAAAATTTTTTGAAAGGCCATCGATTTCAAAGCATTGAAGACATTCAAACAAATGTGATGCAGGCTCTGAAAGACATCCCGAAAGAAGCCTTCCACCGCTGTTTCCAGCAATTGCAGCATCGTTGGGATAAGTGTATACGTTCTGGAGGGGAGTACTTTGAAGGCGATAAATGTGATTAATTTGTAAGTTTAAAAGTAAAAAATACAAAAATAAAGTCTGGAAAATTAATAGCCACACCTCGTACATATATATAGAAGCATCATAGGTTGAAACCACCAAGAACGAAAGTGATTGGTTCTCCAAGGAGGCACGAAGGTCTCTGAGGGGACTTAGCCCTAAACTGGACAGTTTCACAAGGATTTCGCCTTATTCAGCACAGCATAGGCTAGAGCAACGAAACGAGACAGTTACGCACTGTACATAGGCCAGCATCACGTTGATGCATCCGCCACGTGCATGGAGGTCGTGATAGCATATTCCCTTGCCATCTACATTTGCACCCAAGTTTCACGTCGAATCGACGCATCTGTGCCACACGGAAAACAGCAGTTCTCAAACGTAAACAAGTTTTAGGGCCGCTGAGTTAAGACAAAACTGCTTGGCCTAAGACGACCAAGGTCGCAGCGCTTACAGGTCTACCTTAGGATACCGAGTTCATAGGAGCCTGACTTCTAGCTGAACTACGCATATACAAGCAAGAATACGAATTTGGCCTTGCCAAAGTCGTGTAAGACAGTAGAACACACACAGTCGTTTCAAGGCTCCCTCCATTCTCTCCAATCCCAAGATGGCGGACGGATTGGACCGTCCGCCCCTGCCCCATGCCCCCTCCAAGTATATACGCTCTATGGAGGAGAGTAAGATGCGTAGGATGCCAGATGCGGCATTTCAAGTGTAAGCCTAGCAACCCTCTCAGTTGGGTGTGCGTGCGCCGTTGGGAAAGCGAAATGTACAGGGTGTCCCATAAGTCCCATGAATACCGTTGTAAAAAGTGACATCTACTAAACAGTTGGCACAAAAAAGTAACATTAACTGAATGATAGCATGTCATTTGAAATTACCTTTCCGAAAATGGAAGCAATTCTGAGTTTTAAAAGGGTTTCAAAATGCCATCCGCCTACAACACATTTCTCACCAAATAATTGCCTATACTCCCTTCGAACTCTGACGGGACTCTGGAAGGCCTCAATCCTGGTGGAACTTTTCTTCGTTGTTCCAGCGTCAATTGCGAAGTCTTTTCTTATGACAGCAAAAGTAATTTTAAACAATCATGTTTCTTGAGTCTATCTGGATTTACCTGTAGGAGAGGAAAATACAAAAATGAGCCATTTTGTAAAAGAGGATTGGAAAAGGTGTACAATGAATCGTCGTAAATAGGAAAATCTTTCTGATATGTATTGCAAGCAATTTCCGTTTGAATCTGATACCAAGTCATTATTTGTGAAAAAAAAGTTTAAAGGATATTTTCTTTTTGCATCAATGCTAGAAACAGCAACATGCCTGTTGCAGCCCGGGAAAATATTGCAGTACGAAATGCAATAGTGACTTATGGGACACCCTGTATACATCCTCCAGAGGTAAGGAGGATTACGGGATTCCATATTCATTGCAGTATGTGATTCTTGGATAATTTTGCTCAAGACAGTCAGGAATTCACGAAGATATTGCGGAAGTCGTCAGGAAATCTTTAACTTCATCGCCGAGTAGATGATGATTTTCCTCTAATCCCGTATGATCCCGTATATACCGAGGGATGGCATTTCCAGATGACCACTACATTCTGATCGTTTCATTTCCTTCTATCAAGGTTTCGCGCTTACGAATGACACTGGCACCTACACAAACTGGGACTCTAACCAACCGGATAAGACATCTGGATCTATTTGCATGGGGACTGACTTGAGTGCTGCTCCACCTAGATGGACGTCTCTACCGAGTTTCCTCTTCGACCCGATTGGTGCAGTATGCCAACTGTATGTGCCGTGAAGGACTTGGTTCATTGCGGCTCATCATGAGAACAATTGCATCATAAAACTGATTCCTGAATCTCTGCAATGTCCTTCATTCCGCCTCATTCAGTGAGGGAGGCAGGGGGGAGGAGTTTAAAGAAAAAAGGTACTTTTCAGTTAAAACGCCTCAGGGCACATATTTTGGAAAAAGGCGTATTTTCCCGAATTTTCTTATCCAGAAAAACAGAGGGCGCTAGAAAGTCGAAACTTGGCAAAGGAGAACCTGATGGATAGCTGAGTAAAGAAACAATTCTACTTTTCTAATATATATAGACGATCGTGACTGACTGACTGACTGACGCTAATCCATGGTCCATGGTCTAGAAAGGTTAGAAATGTGAAAGTTGGTACACTTGTACCTTTTGGGATGCAGAGTTCAGAAAAAATCCGACTTTGGAGGTTCATACCCTGGGGGTACACATTTTGGGGTTAAACGTTTTTCTTTAATATATTTTGTGACAGATGAAGATGGAATTCAGAAAGTCAATTGGATGTGCAGGGATCGGTCGTGTAGTAGTAGCATCTCTGACTGCCAAGCAGAAGGTCCGGGTTCAATTCCTGGTCATTCCTTGGCTTCCTTTTGGCTTTTATTGCCTTCCATGTCCCGGTACTCATTCCCCCACCATGATTTAAGGAAAACTTAAACTTTTTCTATACATCTCCTCAGAGTACAGCTTTTGGGTGGGTCACCTTTCCAAATACATTTTTTTCCCGCCAGCAAAAAGGGGAAACATGTAAAGTTGAAACTGTGTGGCATGGAGTTTCTGGAGTCTACATTTCAAAAGAACAAAAAAATTCGTTAAAACCCATTATGGCACTTTTTTCAGTCCCATTTTCTGATTTTTTGTTGATCCAACGAAACAGAGACAGAAAATTTAAGCTTTCCTCAGAAGTACCTGCTTAATGGCTGGGTAGAGGAAAAATCCTAATTTTGAAATATGTCTCATTAGCGTAGATTATTGGAGGGGAGTATTTCAAAATGTATTCTCCATCCTTACAAAAAGGGACACAAGAAAATGTTTCAAGTTTGGCACACAGAATCACAGAGGTAATGATTTTGATAAAAATCAAGACTTTCGACTCCATATGTCACGTATTTCAATGGGGACGTGCTTTAAATGCGTGTTTCCCATTTCGGAAAAAATGAATTAATTAATTACTATCCAAGGTAATAGAGCGCCGAAGGCGCGACAATAGCATTTAGAATAAAGGTAGACATTTTTTTTTCATGAATCCATCAGGTTCTTCTTTGACAAGTTTAAGCTTTCTAGCGCCATCTGTTTTGCTGGATCGAGAAAATATATGTGCTTGCAATATATGTGCTCTCAGGCGTTTCAACAGAAAAGTACATAATTTTTAGCGAAATCAATCCTCAGAGAACTACATGCCTACAAAGTTTCAACCTTATACATTTGCCCATTTCGATGGTGAAAAAACATGTTTGGTGAAGCCGACGCACCCAAAAGCATCCGGCTTAGCTTTTGGGTGATCACAGAAAGAATTATGGAAAGGTGGATCGCACCATGAAAACTGAATTCCAACTCAACTCAATAATAATAATATCATGTCACTCATACGTGTGCCAAGTTTCAGCTTTACATTTCTGTATAATCCGCCACGACAAAATTTTTTTTTTAAACATCGCCCCTCGAGAAAATTTCCCAGGGGATGTATCCAGACATAACATTTTTCAGCTTTCGTTCATCAGCTTAACTGATGCAAAAAAATATTTTGAAACCATATCCCTCAAAAATGTGAGTCCCCAGGGCATTTACTTCCAATGTCTGAATTTTTCTGCATGCAACATCCCAATAGGAAGTTATGCACCAAGTTTCATCTTTCCCCACTAGCTCAATACGCCAGGACAAAAAAAATACTTGAAAAAGACGGTCACAAGAAATTCTCTCTCCAGGGAATGAAGCTAAAATTTTACATTAATCCTGAACTCATCGTCTCGTTAGGCACGTCCATGCCAAGTTACAGCTTTCCATGTCTCTCCGTTTTAGTAAAGCAAACATATTATAACGCAGGGGAATGAGTAACGCGACTTTAAAGGCTTAATGGAAAGGAAAGAACTACCGGGAATTGAACCCAGGTCTCCTAATTGCCAGTCAGGTGTGCTACCACTACACTCCCGAGCCGGGGACATCCACCCAAGCCTATCGATGCCATCCTAATCCGTCACAATATATATATTTAAAAACTTCTCCCGCCAAAATGTGTACCCCAAGTGCATGTACCTCCAATAGTCGGATATTTTCTGAACTCTGCATCCCAAAAGGCACATGTATAGCAAGTTTCAGATTTTTATCTTCTCTAGAACATGGTTTGAATTAACGGCAGTCAATCACGACCGCCTATATATATTAGAAACATAATATCATAAATTAACAAAATTAATTGATTTATTAATGTCCCGAGTACAAATATGCTTACTTCACTTTCCTTGCATTATACCATTCAACATCTTCCACACCTTCCCCAGAAATTTTTTCTACCAAGTCTCACCCGAAACTGGAGGAGGAAGAAGACGAGGAGGAGGAGGGGTGCTTCTTCTTCTTGGTTTTCTTGCTCTTCTTCTTTCCGTACTTCTTCTTCTTGCCGTAGCCTCCGCTGCCGCAGCTGCTCGAGCTCGAGCTGCTGCTGCTGGAGTACCTACATACCCGATATTACAAATTGAAGTTAAGCTTAATAGACCTGCAATGCTTTTCGCTCTTTCCTTCATAAAATCTTTTCAGCAGGCTCATGATTTTTGTACTGCCACAAAGCAAGTGGCGGCATAGCTTGTCGGACTTAAAAAACTATTATATTTAAACATTATTGATAAAATTATGGAAGGTCTCTAAAAAAATGCACTTACTCATGTGAGGAAGTGCACGCTTGGCACTGATCAGAAACATACATTACATGAATTTTCTGAATACTACATAAAGGGAAGGGCGGATGAAACAGGCGCTCAGGCGACAGGATCGGGACTAGCATTGGGATCAGCAACTGCATTCGCTTTTGGAACTGCATTGGGATCGCCTAGCACAAAGATGGCTTCCAACAACACCAGAAACACCAACCTGAAACCCTGCTCTAGCCACCAATAAATCAGAAAATGTAGCATTTTTAAATAGCAAGATCAAAGTATGAAGTATGACCAGTGACTCACGATGAGTTCCATGATGATCTTCGGGTGAAGTTCCTTGTGAGAGAGTAGTATGTTAAGATGGCAGACTGAGAATGGCAGCGGAGAAACCGGTTTAATATAGGGATGCAAACACAGAAGGGTGCGGGAGAACCGGCGATCGCATGATCCAATGCAGCCAGATGGTTTCCAATGTAGCAGCTGATGGGAGAGAGGAGGACGAGAAGCGAAGGGGCCTTTCCCACTTTGAACGTCTCTTTTTTCATCACTTTATTCCATGTACTCCTTCCGGCTGTGTGTTCCGCGTTTTGTCCTCGGTTTTTGGTCGTTTCCCCCGTTACGTCATGTTTGTGGTAGATGTTCTTTTCACATCTTCCTATGTGAGCCTTTCAGCAAATTATTATGCAGTATAGTCTGCGAGACAGTATTTTGGATTGGGTGCACGCCATTTGGGCTTTTACTGACCCTTTTGTAGCAAATCAATCAACCACCTAATTAAAATTTCTGAAAAGCGTCATTGCGATCAGATCGAAAACCTTCCTCTGTGAGCATTTTTCCCGTAAACTTTTGTAAGCTACCAGTCGTTTATTCGGAAGTAGCTGCTGAAAAATAAATGTAAAGAGTCGTTTTCATCACGAAGCATATTATAAACGGTTTGACTTCAAAGAGGCTGGTAATTCTCGAGGGCGAAGTAAAAAATTTATTATGCATATTGTTGTCAATCTTTCTGGCAATTTCATGAATTCGGTGATATATAGGGAAGAACCAATATCATACGGAGACTTGTTGCATTTCGTTTTCTTCCGGTAAGAGCAGCTCGGAGCGTTCCTGTATTTACTTGGCTTTGGCGTCGCGCGTTCCCAAGCGATGCTTCATCCCCCCACCCGCTTCCCCAGGTACGTCGCATTCCACTGGATGCCATTTTCCACGTTCGACGGTGCATGTCAGGCGTAAATTAATACGGTGTTCTCTACAGGCTCCAAGGTCACCATTATTGGAGATACCATGGCGAGAACTTTCTGCAGATACAGCGTCTCCATCATAGAATTTTGGGCACATCTTCATCACAGCAGTCTCATCAGCAGCAATATCCCAATCTGTCTTTATTTATCTCTTTTCTGGGGCGAATGGATCATGGGTATAAATGAATGTAATACAGTATATGAAGAGATCCAAATGAAACACATTTGAAGCGTCGCTTGTGTCATACAGTTATGAAGTGACGACGAAAGTTAGAACCACTTTCGGGTCATTATAAACGAACTATACCAATATTCATAAATATTTGCTACAGAGCATCTCGGCTTTCATGATAAAATTTCTCAGAGATTGCAGTCAATCTAACAATCTAACAGTCGCCTCCATCGGATCTGCCGATTCACAAAACGAAGGGAAAAGCACACCGGCTGCCCACAATACGTAACTATGAAGAAGATCATGAATCGAAGAGGAGAAAGCGGAGCACACAAAAGCGGGAAGGAGTGGTGAACAAGTGGATTAAAGTGATAAAGAGAGAGGTGTCCAATGTGGGATATGGCTTTCAATTCTAGTCTCCCCCTCCATCGTCCTCCTCCATCCCATCAGGTATTACACCCGCACCATCTAATTGCATTCCATCATGCAATCGCCGCCTCTCCAGCCCCCTTCCGTCTTCCCACCCCTATATTAACCCCTTCCCAACACTACCATTCTCAGTGGGCCATCCTCTCCGTCTGCTGCGCTCTCTCAAACGAATTTAGGCGGAAAATGTACAAATATGCTGATTACAGGACTGAAGACATGTAGACATTAGGAGGGAATAGGCAATCTGCGACCTGGAGTTCTGAATCTTTGAGTCCAAAGCGAGCATTAGACCGTCCCGATCGACAGACGAGTATCGGGTAGATTATACGAAAGACGAGACCTACTGCAAAATAATCGAAATGATGTTTTTGACTCCATCGTGGAGACGAACGGATCAACGCTCACCGTGGAGGTACGAGATGCGCCAGAATCAGCGTGAGAGGACCATTACCATGGGTCGGAAGGACTCTTCCGTTGATTCGCCGATTCCATTTCCAAAAACGGTAAATTTCTGTGGCTGTCGTAACAATCGAACGCAAGAGGCGCCTTCCTTCAAACTGGGTGCAGGAACATTTTAAATATGAAGCTGCCTTGCGACTTGCGACTGCTAAATACGACTGCCATTTGCCTTCCACGTGGACAAATGATCTTTATTAAACCATATCAGCAACATGAACTGAATCATACACATGATTGGAGGAGACGCACAACAAAAGTTTAATTTTTCAAGACGTCCGTTACGAGTGCCCAGATGCGACTTTCCTATACTATACTACATAATAACATGTATGGCATAATATAATAATATAATAATGGGCATGTACCTCGGAAGTAGGTTTTTTTCTGAACTCTGCATCCCACAAGGTACATGGGTGTTAAGTTTCAGATTTCTAACCTTTAACTATTATATAAAATATTTAAATATTTTTCTTTTTCAAGCCTGACACACATTGATCGCGCTTGCTTTGTGCCAGTACAAAAATGGGACATATGCATGCTGAAAAGATTTTGCGAAGGAAGGAGCGAAAAACATTCGCATGTCTATGTTTAACTTCGACTTTGTAATATCCGACATGTAGATACGCAAGCAGCAGCAGCTCCAGCTCCTGCGGCGGTGGCGACGGATACGACAAGAAGAAGAAGTATGGAAAGAAGAAGAGCAAGAAAACCAAGAAGAAGAAGCACCCCTCCTCCTCGTCTTCTTCCTATTCCAGTTTCGGGTGAGACTTGGAATTTAAATAATATTTAAGGGGAAAGTGTGGAAGCTGTTGAATGGTATAATGCAAGGAAAGTGAAGTAAACATATTTGAACTCGGAACATTAATAAATCGAATTTTTTTTATTTTATGACAATATGATCATAACATACTGTAAAACATAAATATGTAGAATCACATTCATGCATAAACACAATTAATCTTTCACTCACTAGGACAATAATCCTGATTTATGTATAACCCCCTGGCCTTGCAGACGATACGGACGCTGAGAGTGGCTTCCCTGGGTTTAGGAAATGAAGATGTACCCGTCTATCGATCTCCCAGTTCTTAACGGTTTCCCCATCCGACCCGGATGGTCTTGGCTTTCAGGGCTAGTCGTGATTTCCTCTCAATTTTAGACGTATATTTCAAAATATCATAAATGCACCAAGCCATCTCGGATTTCCCGAAAAAATTTAAGTGCTTTTGCAGTCAATCTAACAACCCTTGAAAACAAAAGAGAAAACCGCATGCATCGTATCTATGGATTCACAAAACTCGGCAGAAAGAACCCCTGCCATCAACGCGAAACTATGAACAGGATTACGACTCGAAGAGGAAAAGGCGGAACACACAGGTGGATTACGAGGATAAAAGGGAGAGATTTCCAAATCAGGAAATAAGACGTTCACTTCCCGTCTCTCCTCTCAATGGCCTTCCTCCCTCCACCAGATGCTGCATCTGCACTATATGGTTGTATTGCATTATGCAATCGATGTCTCTCCGCCCCCCTTCTTCCGTCTTCGCGCTCCTATATTAACCGCATCCCTTTGCTGGCATTCTCAGTCTGCCATCCTCACATTCGGCTCTCTCAAGGAACTCCACTCGGCGATCGTCATGAAACTCATCGTGAGTCATACTTTTGATTTCATGGTCATACATTTGATTTTGGCATTGCTACTAGAATATGCTACATTTACCGCTTTCTTAGCGTATGGAGCAGTGCTTCGGGTTGGTGTTGCTGGTGTTGTTGGAAGCCTTCCTCGTGCTAGGCCATCCGAAAGCAGATCCAGAAGCGAGAGCAGTTGCCGATGCTCATGCTAGTCCCGATCCTGTCGCCAGAGGGTTTGTTTTTTTTTTCCAATTCTTATACAGCGGGTATTAAGAAAACGAATGCAATATATTCTTTGATCGGCATTACGCGCTGCACGTTCTCGTATAGCCACAACTCCTTGAAACTTTTCTTGATATTAGCTTTCAACTAAAATAATATATATTCGGTTCTTCACCCGTTTCGAATTCACTTCTTTCGTTCCAGTAAAAAAAGTACGGAATCCTGACAAAAAAAATTGACCTAAGCACGAACAAAATTTAATGGCATGTCACAGTGAAGCCTAATTTGGCGTTTTCTTAAATTGCAGACACCCAGGCAGCTTTAGCTCGAGTAGCAGCAGCGGAGGCTTTGGCAAGAAGAAGTTCTCCTCCTCCTCCTCCTCTTCCTCCTCCGGCCTCGGGAAGAAATTTGAAGACCACTATTTCTTTTTTGAAGTTACGAAGTAAGCTGTTGAAGGATATGAGATGTGAGCTGAAATACGACAGAATAATCGCATATAAATAAATTTGAATATATGGATGAAAAAATTATATATATTAGTACAAACAATTATTTAAATGATTAAAATTATTGCTTGATATGTCCCCCGACAGGATCCCCGGCGGTCGGAAATGAAGCTGCTCGGGTCTCTTTCAACCCCTCTCTTCTGCACTGTTTTCATCGATTGTTGATGGGCGTGGCTTTCGGTGATAGCCATGGTTCCCTTTTTGCTCCCTCACGTGTCTTTCAATAAAGCAATGTTTTCCATATGCTCTTTGTGTTTGGGTCTTCCATGCTCGCGCATATCCTCCTGCATCTTCCTACGTCCGAAGCGTCATCAGAATTTCTCCCATTGTGCCATGTCCCCTTAAAGTGCAGTAGACTTGAACTTAAGTTTGATAGTTAGCAAGACAGGATTCTCGACTTCGTGAGGAGGAGATCCTTGAGACACTGCTGCGGAATTTGGTTATTACCGCAAATTTTAAAGAATCAAAAATGTTCCACCATTATTTACAAGGAAAATGCTACTCAACTTATATAATTGAAACTCCGCACATTAATCGGCACAATGGCGCAGTCGTAGGCACTATATGCCAAAATTTCTCTGCAAAGATTAGTTAATATAAAATCACCAATTTCAATGAAATTGACGCTCTTTTGGAGGACTTCCTTTTCATCATAACTTAGGCGAATTTATAGCCTGTTCGGTGAGGCATTTTTTTGCAATCGTTCATAATAATGCACATAGACAATTTCATGCGTAAAAGCGCATAGGTACTTACGACAGTACTTCAGTACTTTGCGTACACCAGTTGACATGTCCCTCGGACAGGTGTTTTATAGTTCTCCTGACCTTCAATGAAAGCCATTTCACTGGACATTGATCCAAAGGTTCCATGAGTTCGCTCGGCTCATTTTTCATCCAGTGAAGAGAAAGCGCCTAGCGGCGACGTGAATGTAAAGCTATTTCAGTTATTTGTTGATTTAAACTGCCTGGAATTAAAGTCATTCTTAAAAGAGGTCAGTATGTGAGGGTCGCAAGATAGGGATAGAGATGAAGCATTGCATCTGGAAATCGGTAGGCAAATTTGGCCAACGGTGGTTTTCGAAATCCAAACCGCCTCAAATATCTTTTTCCTGTCCCCCATGGAAAAAATTTTTCACTCGTATTAGCATGTGAACTGCCGCGGTTCGCGAGGAAGGCTGACGGAGGCCATCCGACGTTCATCAAAGGAGGGGAGAAATGTCGCGGAATCGAGTGGCATCCTCGGGCTTGGAGGATATCGAGCAACTGGCGCTGTTCGCTCGGGGACGGGTTTTTTTTTACTCTCCGACGAGAAGGGAAAGCTTTTCGCATACTATTAGCTTCGAAATGTTCGTCGAAAAATCTTCTGTTTTCTGATGAGATGGGAGTTTTCGCATTCACCCGTGATTTTCCTCAAAGGAGTCACCTTCCGCATCCACACATTTTTTGCCAGCGTTCATACGACTGGTGGATTGTGTCCCGGAGCTCTTTCGTTTCCGCGTCCCCGAGTGCCCTCGTCGCAGCCACAACCACTTTTTTTATTTTTGGAGAACTTCTGTCGCTTGATTGCCTGCTCCATTCGTGGAGAATCCCAGTCACATGTTGCTGTGTCGGGGGAATACGGTGGATGTTGTGTGGAGGTCTGCTTAGGGCCTTGAGATATCGAAAAGTTTGGGCATTGTCGCGAAGCTGCATCCACTCCGGAGAAGCCCCCAGATCGGTGCGTTAACGGCAAATCGCATTTCGCAACTGAATCTCACAAAATACCTACGATTTTACGTCTTTTTTTCATTTGGAAAGAAGTCGTGAGGAATCACCTGGCGATTGTCAAAGAATACCACTTTTCCCATCGAAATGAAGACATTGGCCTGCTGATTGACGCTGTGTGCAGGGGTCGTACAAAAAACACAATTTCTTGTTCCTAGAGAGGATTTTTAGCTGCTGAGGACATTTTAGGAAATTTTAGAATATCATAGAGATGCGGTACATGAAGAACTATGACATGGATTATGCCGCCCGAAGTACGAGGCAGTGACGTCCCATCGATGTCGCGGAACATCGGAATGCGACGTATTCAAACGTTGCAGCAACGTTGCATGGACATCACGTGTTCCTTTGGTAGTGATATATATCGTTATCCTCAACTTAGATTCATTACTTTAACTTGGTTTCTTGCTGATGCACTTTATTTTTCCCTGTTTCGACACTCTGTATGTTGTGGAATGAAGGCAAGCTCTGAGGCGAAAATGACATCATTCCAACGAGAAATGTGAGGATACCGGCTTTGCAAAAAAATTAGCCTATCTTCCTGAATGAGAATTATCTAAAGGCAATGCAAAAATAGATTTAGAGGGTTCCAGGTATCCATTATATGTTCAGACGATTCAATTTCAATCTTTGCATGTGAAACTCCCATCTCGGAGGTGCCACATTCTTTGCGGAATTGCGAAATCTGAAGGAATTTTCATGCTATTCGGGCGGCGCGAGATCAACTCTCAGGAACGGGTATCGGATTTGCACAATGAGGCCTTGGGAAGCGTGTACCTCGAGGGTGATAGCATCTCAAGCGTGGAATCGCACGGATTCCCCGGAATGAGTGGGTCCTTTTAGGCTATGACACGGTTGGTTATAATCCTCTTTCACTCTGCCATAGGAACAGGGGGAACCCGCACAGCGTTCCACTGCGGCCTGGCCTGGATCGTGCTGGAGCCAGACTTCCTCTGCAGCTCACATGGGGAATGCGCAGATGGAACGGGTTTCCAAGATTTCCATTTCATTGCGATTCAAAATGACATCAAGGTGGATGTCATCTTGGGCGATTAGATTGCCTTGGACCCCATGTTATGAAATCACATTGAATTCCCATGAGGAGCTCAGTTTAATCAACCCTCAATAGGTATTTTTACAATCTTCCAGAAGTTCAACCAATTTTAACCGCAACAGGAAATGAGGGGATTTTTTCTGCAGATCAAATTTTTTGGAAGGATCGTTGCCCACTAGGGAATTATAGTTCAAAACTTCAGACCAGACCAAGAAAAGAGTGAGACCATTGCTTCATCGATAGACAAGTCGTGAAGAAAGAGAAAAACTACAACCTACTTCTTCTTTAAATGCTCTTCTTGCCGTTGTCCCTACCGCCGCTGCTGAAACTCGAGCTGCTGCTGCTTGGGTACCTGCGAATGCAAGGTAAGCAGAAATCCCAAATTTATCTTCTACCATTTGAGATTCATAATGTTTCTCTCTTAATATTTTAAATTTAGACATTCTTGATCATACAATGTCCACACTACGCAAGGGAAAAGACAAGCAATTCGTTACAACGGTTTGTTGCATCGAAAAAAGGCAAAAACAAGTATATATATATATATATATTTTTTTTTTTTTAAGATCTCAACATTATAGTTGTAATGATAGACTTCCCGTCATACCATGAATACCGGCTTTCGACTCGTGATACTGTAAGTGCTCCGCCAGATAATCCAGATAATAATCGACTGAAGATAAATCAAAGAGAAATCATCAATAGTGAATTCAAAATTTCTGATTATTGTGCGTAAAAAGTCGAACAAGTTAGAAATCTGCTCCATCGATGCACCTTGGGAGTTCAGCTTACCATAGCAAGAGCTTTGTCTTTTCCCTAGAAATGAATGTCTTTGAATGAATGTCTTTTATCAAGAATTGAAGTTTCAAATGTTGCAGTTTAAAGAAAAAACTTACCAATAAAGTTTTCCAGCTATGTTACCATGAAGTGATTTTTTTAATACTTGAATATTAACTCGTGCGAACTGGTGGAACATAGGGCTGAAGGTTCAGTGGAATAACTTCACTACAGGTCAGTGGAACTAGACTAAGTCTCTGTAATTCATTGGATCTTGTGTATGTGAAGTACTTAAATATTACTGCAATGCAATAAAATACCCGCAGAATTTTCGCAAGGATCATCACTTCAAGTAAGGAAATCTTTGTAGTTCAACATGCAACACCACTTCTTCATTCTTTCTCTGATCGTAAAATTGAAATGTGATAGGGATGCTTTGCATGGATGAGGATCATCATATGTGCGATTAGAGGAGACTCATCTGGTGAAAAGGACAAAGCGGAGGTGAAAACCATTCCTTTATTGAAGTACGCGTCGAAAATCGAGAGAAGAACCATGACTAGTCCCGAAAGCCACAACCATCTAGGTTGGATAGGAAAACTGTGAAGAACTGGGAGATCGATAGACGCGAGCAGCTTCATTTCCTAAAGCCAGGAAGCCTCACTCAGCGTCCGTATCCTCTGCAAGTCCAGGGGATATACAAAAACCAGGATTATTTTCCTAGAAGTGAAAGATTAACTGCTGTTATGCATAAATTGGTGAATCTACATATTCGTGTTTTAAGTAATACTATTTCTGCCCGATTCGCTAGGATTTGAAAAATTATTTGAAAACATAACGTCCCCAAGTAATATCCCCCCAAAATTCCAATATTTTGGAAAATTGACGTTTGACGTTTGAGATCAGCGCGTCAGCAGTCACGTTCTTGCCAGGTTTCAGCTTTCCATTTGTCTCTGTTTGACTGAAGCAAAAAGAAAAATTTGGATATTTTGTTCCCCAAAAAGTTGTGGTATGATACCAGCCGTTCCCTACCGAGTACAATCATCCCACGTAAAGGACCCTCAGAGTTTTATTTCCTCTACTGAATGAGAATTCACATTGAGTACTTGCATGACTCAAGTACCTCTCGGTCCAGTAGAGGCAAACAACTTCGCGGGCATGGTTTTTATACTTTATCCATTATGGATGAGTCTGAATAGGGGTGTGTGCTATGTGGAGATTTAGGAAAATTGAGCGTGTCTTCTCGGACACACTAGCCAGAAGTACTTAGGGTCTCCTTCTGCCTGATTACCTTCTTAAACATATCTATCTAGGAATTCCTATACCTTCCCCTATGCTGTGAATGGGAAAAGATTGGGTACTGTTTGAAAAACGCAGGGTACTGGTTATTTAAAGGCATCAGGTTAGGAATCGCGGATTGGCGGTTATGTGCCATCTCGCCTCGATTCATAAAACCTATTTTCTGTTGACATGATGTGGATAACTCCACGTAAAAAACGACATTGAGAATTCGATTTTTTTTTAATTTGCTCCTAATAGCCTCTGAACGAGTTCCCTAATTCACGAGTAGTCACCAAATACAGAAAATACGGTAAATTATGAATAGCTAGCATTTCATTGATGTTGATATTTCGTCGAATTCTCAACTTCAACAAAGTCTCAAGGTTTCAACCTATTCTCAATGTTGATACAACGTTTTTGTGCCGAATGGGTTATGTCAGTCAGTCAACTACTCACGATCCTCTATATAGAATAATGGAGGAATTTTTTATTTCCATCAATCCATCAGGTTCTGCTTTGGAAAGTTTAAGCTTTCTAGCGCCCTCTGTTTTGCTGGATCGAGAAAATACGCCTTTTGTAATATATATGTTCTCAGGAGTTTTAACCGAAAAGTACATTATTCTTTTTAAGCGAAATCAATCCTCAGAGAACTACATGCGCACAAAGTGTCAACTTTATACATTTGCCTTTTTCGCTGGTGAAAACATAAGTTTGGAAAAGCCGACACAACCAAAAGCTAAGCCCGAAGGGGATGCGCCATGAAACATGAATACTTCCTCAACTCAATAATAATAATATCATGTCACTTATACGTGTACCAAGTTTCATCTTTCCCCACTAGCTCAATACGACAGGACAAAAAAATTACTTGGAAATGACGGTCCCAAAAGTCTCTCCCCAGGGCATGAATCTAAAATTTATTACTTTTCCTGAACTCATATTTTCGGTAGGCACGTCCATGCCAAGCTTCAGCTTTCCACGTCTCTCCGTTTCACTTAAGCAAACATATTGTTATGCTGGGGGAGTGAGTAACGCGACTTGAACGGCTTAATAGAAAGCCAAGGAACGGCCGGGAATATGAACCCTGGTCTCCTGATTGCGAGTCAGGAGTGCCTCCACTACACCCCCGAGCCCGAGACATCCAACGAAGTCTCTCGATGCCATCCTAATCCGTCACAATATATATCTTTAAAAACTTCTCCCGCCAAAATATGTACCCCAAGTGCATGTACCTCCAATAGTCGGATTTTTTCTGAAATATGCATCCCAAAAGGCACATGTGTCCCAAGTGTCAGATTTCTAACTTCTAAAGGACATGGTTAGAATTCATGTCAGTCATTCACGATTGTCTATATATATTAGAAACATAATTTCATGAAAATAACGAAATTAATCAATTTTTTAAGGTACCTAGTACAAATATGTTTACTTCACTTTCCTTGCATTATATAATTTAACATCTTCCACACCTTCCCCAGAAATTTTTTCTACCAAGTCTCACCCGAAACTGGAGGAGGATGAAGACGAGGAGGAGGAGGGGCGCTTCTTCTTCTTGGTTTTCTTGCTCTTCTTCTTTCCGTACTTCTTCTTCTTGCCGTAGCCTCCGCCGCCGCCGCTGCTCGAGCTCGAGCTGCTGCTGCTTGGGTACCTGCATACCCGATATTACAAAGTCGAAGTTAAACTTAATAAACACGTGAATGCTTTTCGCTCTTTCCTACGTAAAATCTTTTCAGCAGGCTCATGGTTTTTGTACTGGCACAAAGCAAGCGCAAGCGCGATCAAAGTGTGTCAGGCTTAAAAAAGAAAAAGATAATATTTAAATATTTTAGATAAAATTATGGAAGTTCTCTCAAAAAAAGCACTTACTCATGTGAGAAAGTACAACGCTGGGCGCTGATCAAACAATATAATACATGAATTTTCTTAATACTATATCGGGAAGGGAGAATAAAACAGACGCTCTGGCGATGGGATCGGGACTAGCATTGGGATCAGCAACTGCTTTCGCTTCTGGATCTGCATTGGGATCTCCTAGCACGAAGAAGGCTTCCAACAACACCAGCAACACCAACCCGATACCCTGCTCCAGACACCAATAAATCAGGAAATGTAGCATTTTTAAATAGCAAAATCAAAGTCTGGAGTATAACCAGTGACTCACGATGAGCTTCATGATGATCGTCGGGAGAAGTTCCTTGAGAGAGAGTAGTATGTGAGGATGGCAGACTGAGAATGGCAGCAGAGAAACCGGGTTAATATAGGGAGCGAACACGGAAGGGGGCGGGAGAACCGGCGATCGCATGATCCAATGCAGCCAGATGGTTTCCAATGTACTAGCTGATGGGAGAGAGGAGGACGATAAAGAAGGTAAAGAGAAGGGACGAGAAACGAATGGGCCTTTCCCACTTTGAACGTCTCCTTTTTCATCACTTTATTCCATGTAGTCCTTCCGGATGTGTGTTCCGCGTTTTGTCCTCGGTTTTTGGTCTTTTTCCCCATTGCGTCATGTTGGTGGTAGAAGTTCTTTTCACATCTTCCTATGCGTGCCTTTCAGAAAATAATTATGCAGAATAGTCTGCGAGACGGAATTTTGGATTGGGGGCACGCCATTTGGCTTTGACAGACCCCCTTGTAGCAGATAAAAAAAACCACGAAATTAAAATTGCTACCAAGCGTCATTACGATCAGATCGAAAATTTATATTAGTGAGCATTTTCCAGAATACTTTTGGAAGCTACCAGAAGTTTATACGGAAGTAGCTGCTGATCGGGAAAAAAACTAAATGTAAAGATTCGTTTTCATCACCAAGCATATTAAAAACGGTTTGACTTCAAAGAGGCTGGTTATTCTCTTGGCGGAAGTGAAACATTTCTTATGCATATTGTTGTCAATCTTTAAGGCAATTTCATGAATTCGGTGATATATAGGGAAGAACCAATCTCGTACCGAAACTAGTTGCATTTTGTTTTCTTTCGGCACGAGCAGCTCGGAGCGTCCCTGCATTTACTTGGCTTTGGCGTCGCGCATTCCCAAGCGATGATTTATCCCACCACCGCTTCCCAAGGAACGGAGCTATCCACTGGATGGCATTTTCCACGTTCGACGGTGCATGTCAGGCGTAAATTATTACGGCGTTCCATACAAGCTCCAAGGTCACCATTATTGGAGATACCATGGCGAGAACTTTCTGCAGATACAGCGTCTCCATCATAGAATTTGAGGGAAATATATTAATCACAGCAGCCTCATCAGCAGCAATATCCCAATCTGTCTTTATTCATCTCTTTTCTGGGGCGAATGGATCATGGGTATATATGAATGTAATTCAGTATATGAAGACATCCAAATGAAACACATTTGAAACGTCGCTCGTGTCATATAGTTAGGAAGTGAGCGACGAAAGTTAGAACCACTTTTGGGTCATTATAAACGAACTAAACCAATATTCATAAATATTTGCTACAGAGCATCTCGGCTTTCATTATAAAATTTCTCAGTGATTGCAGTCAGTCTAACAATCTAACAGTCGCCTCCATCGGATCTGGCGATTCACAAAACGAAGCGAAAAGCACACCGGCCACCAACAATACGAAACTATGAAGATCAGGAATCGAAGAGGAGAAAGCGGAGCACACAAAAGCGGAAGGAGTGGTGAACAAGTGGATTAAAGTGATAAAGAGAGAGGTGTCCAATGTGGGATATGCCTTTCAATTCCAGTCTCCCCCTCCGTCGTCCTCCTCCATCCCATCAGGTGCTGCATCCGCTTCATCTGATTGCATTTCATGATGCAATCGCCGCCTCTCCAGCCCCCTTCCGTCTTCACACCCCTATATTAACCCCTTCCCAACACTGCCAGTCTCAGTCGGCCATCCTCTCCGTCTGCTGCGCTCTCTCAAACGACTTCTCGCAGGAATCGGCATGAAACTCATCGTGAGTCACTTGTCTTTCTTCAGAATTTTTTATTTGCTGCCAAAACATGCTAAATGTTATGTTCCCTTGGTGGATGGAGCAGTGTATTGCGTTGGTGTTGCTGCTTCTGTTGGAAGCCTTCCTCGTGCTAGGTGATCCGGATGCAGATCCAGGCGCTAAATCAGTCGCCGATCCTCATGGGAGTCCCAATCCTGTTGCCCGAGGGTCAGTTTTTACTTCCGTTTCCTATACAGTGGGTATTGAGGAAAATCATGCAACGTGTCTTTCCGATCGGTACCGAGCGTTGTACCTTCTCGCTTAACTTCTTTTTCTTGAAATTTTCCATATTTTTAATTTAAAATAGAAGACAATTGGAAATGCTAATGTCACCATCTTTGACCTGCCTTCGTTCGTACCAGTCGAAAAAAGGCACGAAAGGCTGACTAACCAATTTTTACCAAAGAACAAGATTCATTTGCATATTATAAAGTGAATAGTGAAGCTTAATTTGACAATTGCATAAATTGCGCATGCAGGTTCGCAAGCAGTAGCAGCTCGAGCTCGAGCAGCGGCGGCGGAGGCTACGGCAAGAAGAAGAAGAAGCAGAAGAAGAAGAAGAAGAAGAAGAAGTTCCCCTCTTCCTCCTCCTCTTCCTCCTCCAGTTTTGGGTGAGACTTGTCAGAAGCAAAATTTCTGTTGAGTTGTGGACGAAACTGTTGTATCATTAGATATAAGGAGGTAGACAACAGAATAATCCCAAATTAAGAAATCAATTATCTTTGATGATTTGATACCTTTGATGAAATTGTACATACTATTTTGAAGA